CCCATCATATGTAACTGTGCCATGCAGATACTTGGTGTAACCAGATCTAAACGACTGGTAGTACCTGGATGGTCAGCGCATGTCAAGGAAGTATGCTGAATCAAGAAGTGCATTCTTACGTGGATATTCTACAATTCCCACATTCACGTCCTCTGGCTGACGCGATGCGACATGCTTGCACGCGATTCAAACATGTCCTGCAGCTCTGCAGGTCGGAGGACGATATGAGGGCCGAGGCGCTGTCTGATAAGTTGCCGGAGGGACAGACAGGGTCATTCTGGCGCGAGGTGTATTCTTTGAATCCCAAGACGAACAAAATTGCCCAAAGGGGGGATTAAAATAGCTGACCTATGGCGGGGAAAGTATAATAAGGATCTAAATTCTATTGAGGATGGTGGATACAAACACTTGATTGAAACGAAATTGAACGAATGTGCTCTAGAAGACTTTAATGCCGTTAATGTTGAGGAGGTCCATAATAGCTCTATAAATCTGCCATCAAACAAGTTGGTAAGATTGGATAAGATCCCAATGAATTTTATAAATATGCTCCTTGTATAGTTCTGGTGTGGCTAGCTCTAAATTTCAATTCGTTTCTAGCACATGCTCACCTGCCTATTTCCATCATCTGTTTCCATAATTCTACTGTTAAAAAGCAAATTGAAAGAGAAAGATGCTTCGTGAAGTGGCAATTATAGACCTATTGGCATTGCAACTGCTGCTTCCAAAATCTTTGAAAATATTTTACTATTCGAATGCTGGACTTTTTTCATAAGGACGATAACCAGTTTGGTTTAAGGCGAGGCATTCCACAGTTAGGCATATATGCAATTAAAGTAATTAATTACTACTATAATCTGAATACGCTGGTTTCCATATGTTTTACAGATATAAAGAGTGCCTTAGATAGTCTTGAGTTTCTGAGGACTATTTGTTAAGCTTCTTGATTGGGGCATGCCAGCCTCCCTTATAGCAACCAGCTTCCTATATGTGTAAAGGAGCAGTGTATGGGTCAGATCTTTTTCGATGGATAATGGTATTAAGCAATCACGTCTTAGCCCGCTGCTCTTTCATATCTATGTAGTTCAACTAAATGTACAGCTAAATGCAACAAGAATAAATGCAGCTGGGCGTCCAACTAACACTTCATACACTGATGATCTAGCAGTTGTCTGTCCCAGTGCCTCTGACCTTAATGAGCTGCTTGTCATGTCAACAATTTGCGGATACACACCATATTTTATACAGTTCAACGAAATGTGTCTGCATGCACATCATGCCTAATATTCGCTCATCGGCCATATTTTAACTGGATTTTATGGATGAAGAGGATATGCGGAAGGAAACTAGGAAAACTGTGTGCTAGAGGGAACACCCAGATAAGAACATTCAAGATTTCCAAAAGAGGACGTGAAATGCAATTTTTAAAAAACTTTTTGCTACCCATTGTACTCTTCCTCCCTCTGGTGTCGGCATAGAGTCGCAATGTTTACAGTACAATAATATCCTGAGACTATTGTTCGGTGCCCCTTAGTGGGAGACTGCATCAAGTCTGTGTGTATCCAATAATCTCTAGAATCTTCAAGTTACAAAAGGAGTGCAATTTACAGTGTAATGCAGATCTTAAAATCCTCGAATATTTTGATAGCAGCCTTGCGTGACAGTGATGTAAAAAACAAAAGTAACATTTGGTAGAATTGGGCTAACCTGTTCTATGTTAATTCCACATAGTTGTTAAATGACAGTATGTGAATCATTCATCTCTATGCCATGTTATGTTCTTATCTAAATTAAGATTTTACTGTACATAAATCATTTTACTGTTTGCATTTGCATTATATATACACGTGTATTTGTTGCACTGTGAAGCTGTTCTGAAACTATTTGATTTATGTATATACTGCATATTTAATTGTATTTAGAGCCAAGATTGCTCTTTTTCACTAATTTACTCGATATGCTCATATTGTTTGTCTTCTATGTTCATCCTTCAATACTCTTTTATATATGTATGAATGAAGATGAAATAAAGATTATTATATTATTATTATTGTTGTTTTCACCTGCATTTTCTATAACTAATAGTAGGTGCTTCGTTACTACTTCCTCATTGAGTGTGTGCATATCGTTGTGCCTGTTTTACCTTATACTAGCCGAGCTAACCATTCATTTATTCACACATCATTTCGATTCCCTGATATAAGACCCAAATCACCTACTTGACCGTTATACACGGAATTCCCTCTAGGATTACAAACTGGAATTTGTTTCTTTAATTTTAAGGCATTGGTGAATATGCAGACACCATGCTTTATATAGGTTTACAGTTATTATGTCCATAAGTTAATTCTAAGACGCAAAAATCTGTAAATATTGGGATCTTGTGCCCCGCAACACCGAGAAGTCACGCACACTTTGCTCACAAGACAAATATGATTGACGTGTCCGAGATGATTAGAATTACGTCCAGCTGCCTCAAAGAGTCCGAAACACAAGTTCT